AAAAATGTATGAGTCACAGATAATATCAGTTGTTTTATCGTTACCAATTAAATCTAGTCTCTTTTTGTTTTTCTAATTGAGTTTTTCCAGATGCTGACATATTACAGTGAGATTTAAAAGAAACAAAGAATGGTATTTAAGCCACTAATGGGTTATGAATTTTCAAAGTCAAAACCATGGCCTTCACGGAGACAATGTTTTCTTCAATATCAGATTGTCACAGAATTAAATAACAAAAGCTTTGAGGTTCAGGTTAGAGTTCTTATTTATTCTATGTGTGCTGAAGCCAAGCAAATAAATAGCACTTTCAAAATATGTGATGGACTTGCTTCAACAGAAATCATATTCAATAGCATCATCTTACTTATTATAAAATGCAGAGTGTGTGTGTGTGTGTGTGTGTGTGCGTGTCTGTACGTTTATATATTGGATCGGATTTCCTACATTTTTCAAACGATTTCAAAACTTCACAGGACTACGTAAAATTACCTTGCGGCGGTTCTGACAGCACCAAAAATTGGAAAAACACAATTGTTTTTGCATGAAATCAATTTGAAAACACGATTAAGAGGCATTAATGAAAGGGGGACAACTCATATCGAGTTATACTTATTAATATCGAGTTATCAAGTTATACTTATAAAACCCGGGTTGGTTGGTTGTGTGTGTGTGTTCCTTTATATATGGGATCGGATTTCCTACATTTTTCAACTGATTTCAACAAAACTTCACTTTTTTTTGGCAGGTAGTGTTTCTTATTGTCTTGCACACGTTTTTCTTTATTTTGACATTCAGAATGCTTTAAAAATTTCATTTACAAGACAATTGTTTATAATAAAATTCTATTCAATCGGTAGACTCATAACGATTGAAAACAATGTTTTTGTTTGAGTTTGGGTTTGACCAATTCGTAAAAAACAAAAAAAAAAACAAAAAAATAAAACTAATTAAGACATGCATGTCCATCAACCTTAAACAATAATCTTTGTCAATTTTATTTTTCAGTCTTTATGATGGTCGATACTTGATCTATCTCTTACTGTTTCATCCCCGGGCAACACTGGGCTCTACTGCTAGTTTTTAATAGAAATTTTACTCTTAAAGTAAAAAAAATGTACATTTGTGTATTGTATGTCCTGACCAAATACAAAGGCTTTCCAAATAAAGGAATGTTCAACTAGAGTCAAACTAGGAGAGTGGGATTGAAAGAAAGGGAGTTATCAGAAAAAAAACTCCAACTCCAGCCTGATTCGAAAGTCACAATAAAAATTGCTTGCCAGTATGAGAAAGTAAAAATGGCAATGTCAGAGCAACAGCTTTTAATTCTTGATGCAATGTAAGATGCTTCCAAAATTAAAACACCATTTTTTAGCAGAGTGTGAGTTTCTACACCAACTTCCCATAATAATAGCGAAGAGGTTGAGAAAACGATTACAATCAATGTGGCAGAGAACCAGATAGAAAAACAATAGATTGTTCTGCCAGAAAGACACTATTACATCTACAATAAGTGGAGTCATTTTTCTATTGTTTGCCACAGTAAGATAATAGACATAGTTAACAATGTAGATAAGGAGAAGGAAGTACATTTCCTTGATTAGGTGCCTTACCATTGACCCATTGTAGCATATTAAATTGAACCTTTGTGGATGTAATTCTCAATTTAAAAATGACACTGGCATCACAGTGACATCTTTGAGAATAGAAAAAAAAAATTAAATCTAAACCCTTAATAAGCCCAACAACATCTAAACTTAGGTCATCAGCAGATGCTATGAAGTGCCATGGACATTTTACCATGTCAGTCAAAATTCAGGCTTATGAAGTAATTTCATTAAAAATATTAATTTGGTTATTTTTTTTTTTTTTTTTTGCATTTACATCTAAATTGGAATGTAGTTTGGGGCTAATAGCATAAAGAGTAGAGATCCTGGACAAATGAAAAACATTTTTTCAGTATCTTGATGAAAATTCTGTTCAATGTCAAATGATCAAAATTGTATTGGAAGATAATGCAAAACCTTACATTCTCATTACAGTGTGCAGAATAACTATACAATTATTGGAGAAGGTAAAAATAGAGCTGGAATGAATACAAAAACTGGTGTAATTGAAATAATTACTAAACCAACAGACTAGTATACACCCATGGTATCAGTCCTGAAAAGGAATAGCCACATTAGGATTTGTATAAACTTCAAACACCTGAATGAAATTGTAATACAAGAACAGTATATAATTCCAATACTTGATAGCATCCCACGTAAATTAAAAGGGGTAAATTTTTCAGTAAACTTCATGCCATTTCAAGATTTTGGCAAATTCTACTTGAGAGTGACTCTGCAAAAAGGTATAAACTTTTATTGCCCATTTTGACTGATATTTTTACAGAAGACTTTCTTTTTAGATACAGTGTAACCCGGATATAAGAGAGTTGTTGGGACCGGAGAAGAAGTCTCTTATATCCGGGTCACACTGTAGTATCAACTACAGAAATTCTAACACTATATAGGAGAAATTCTCAAAAATGAAAAAGGTGTCATCTATTTTGATGACATACTAGTCATCAACAAAGATGCTACTAAAAATAAGAAACAATTCAACAGGATTTTAAATAAATTAAAGTCAAATGCACTAAAATTAATCAATGATAAATCAAAACTGTTAGAAATTAAACACTAGATGACATTGTAAAAATAGACAAACTATAGCCTTTTCCAAAGTGAAAACTAAGTAAAGGACTAACAGTTAAATTCAATTGTTAATTCAGATTCAAGCAGTTAAGAAATCAAGAGTTCTCTTACAAAAAAAAAAAAAAAAAAAAATATAAATAAAATAAAAATAATGTAATGTGGCTCACTGTTCACAAACGCTACTATTGACAGGACAATGTTACACTCAAATTGAAAAGTGTAGGTTTGCAAAAAGTTTGAAAGATTCCTTTACCCTTAAAACTGGTCACAAACCCTTTATTCCATGAAGTACCTCTCTGATGCCAGATTACTTATGAAGCTATTGTGCTTTAAATTAAAAACTGGTTTTTTTTTTTTTCTTACTGAATACACTATCAAGAAATCCACTGAAAGGTGATAAAAAAATGAGCAAGTTTGCCAGTTGACAAAACACTAATCGACCTAGTCTGGATAACATGGTCAGTCACCGACAAATGTCTAACAGAAATAGTGTTGCTGTCTGCTAACTAGGATCCTAAAACAAGCTATCAAGTACCCAAAAGTAAAATGGCCTACCTATAAAAAACAGTTGAACACTGATATGCACAAACTCTGTGGAGAAAAAAATAAACTAAGTGTTTATAAAATCTTACTTCTTAAAGTACTTCTTAAACCGAGCGAAATGAGATTTTAGAAACTATTCACAGTGGGCATCAGGACATGACTAAATGCCAACATCATACAAACTCTTTAGTGTGATAAGCTGCCATCAACAAAAAACATTACTATGGAAGGAGAAACTATTTATACTGTGAAGAAAGGAGGCCAAACCATAAGAAAAAGACTCTCAAACCACCCCCCTTTACCTAAAGGTCCATTTCAAATGGTAGGAGCAGACATGCAAATTTAAAGGACAATATTACTTTGTACTAATAGATTATTTCTCAAAATATCTTGACTTCCAAATATTAACACAGCCAATCTTATCGGGAGTTTGAAAAATAACTTTGCACATCAAGGTCTTCCTGTAATATTAATCGCTGACAACATCCAACAGCTTGTATCAACTGAGTTTAAAGAATTAGCAGATACCTGAAAGTTTGTCCATGTTACTAGTAAACTGTACTTTTCAGAGGCAAATGAAAAAGTAGAGAGAGCTGTAGAAACTACTTATAGCATATGTCAACAAAACGACCGATTTTTGGTTGTGGTAGTGTATAACAACAACAACAACAACACCTCTACGACTAAGTCCGGTCAAACTTGCTTTTGGATGCTGACAATGAATGATTGAACCAATATTGTGGCTCAACCTTAAACTGCAGCAGATTTAAAAAAATGTGATTAGATAATATAATGCTAAAGTAAAGACAGCTCATAAGAAATATTTTAACAGGGGCCATGGAGCTCAAAGTTTATCAGAATTCCAACAAGGAGATATTGTTCTCCAAAATTTAGACCTTGAGCATCAGTGGTCTAATCCAGCAACAATTATAAAAACTTCTCACTCTGCTCCTTCCTAGAGTAGACATTTGATGGCATACGGTGTGGATAGAAAAGGTAACACCTTCATGTATCAAGTGTCACAATTAATTCCCAAGGGGGCCAGAGTGTGTCTATTGGTCACATTAATCATTAAACAACATTCTAACACCAAATCCACCTGATATTTCAAACAATTCTGAAATACCCAACAAAACCTCTAGCCATCCTGTCAGCCTATGTATACCATAACAAAATTTGGTTGAATCAATCAACTTTATAGTACAGTACCTGCTCAAATGATGCATGTCAGACACATTATCCAATCTGACTAAATGAGGAAGATATACAAATATACATCAGCAATTAGTTCCAATGGACTATCATCACCCTTCAGGTGATCCTATTATTCATTATAAATGGATAGAGTATAGAAAGAAAAAAAAAAACAATTATTTTATTGCTACCAACTCAACCCAGTTTCTTGTTGCTTTTCTGCGTTAATTGCATCTCCACACACATTATACTAATTACAAATAAATTGTGGTTTTCGTAACAAGTTGAATTAATTTCCAAAATTGTATAAGGAAGTAATTATGTATTTATGAAACTCAATTTTTTTTTGATCCAATGATATTAAAAATTTCTTTTTCAGATAAAGATAGACCAGAAGTAATTTAGATAAAAGATTTGGCAATTAAATGCTGTCAATATCAAACTAAAAATGTGTCATCATCATCCTTTTTCTGTTTAAACTACATAACAATTAGACATTTACAAATGAACTTAATTCAGACAAAATGTATGCCACCAATTGGAGAGCAAATTAGAAGTTAGTACACCTACCCTTCCCTGAGAACATGGTATCCAAAAAGGCCAGTAACATCCTTGAATCCAGTAAATATATGATCCAGCAGCTGGAAATGTCAAATAAACAGACAGCAAGTAAAAATTAGAGAACAATTCAACAGGAAAAAAAACTTCTTTAATTAAAATACTTACTTCTTTGTAATCTTATTAATTTGGTAATATTAAAAATTAAGAACACCAAAAAATAATGCCAAATTAATTTTAAGTATTACTGGGTATTTTTTAACCTATAAGCCATAAAAGTCGAGAAATTCATTGGAAGAAATTGTGAGGTTATCTTCTATTTCTTATCCATAATACCTTTTTAAAGTGTTTTCCCCTCTGCACACATGTGGAAAACAAAGAACTGTCATAGAATTTCTATTTTTACAAGCAGAAATTGTTACAAACATTCACAGAATGTTAGTAAATGTTTATAGAAAGACTGCACTTGACATAAGCACTGTAAGGAGGTTATTCAGTAGAACTAATGATAATCCTAGAGAGAAAGAAGAAACTGACTTTAATGATAGGCTCCACAATGGCAGTTTAACTGCTGCTGTGAATGAGAATAAGGCCAACCAGGCTGATGTCCTCATTTCAGTTGACAGAAGTATCACTATTGCAAAACTCAGTAAAAGCCTGGTGAATTGCCCTCTAATATTTACAGAGATATGTAAGTGCCTATAGTTTTTGTGCAGTCTCTTGGCTACTCAAATGTCTGTGCAAAATGCATTCCCAGAATGCTAATAGACTCCATAAAGGCATATAGGATGGTTGCTAGCAAAGAGATTGTGGAGTACTGACTTAGCACCCTCAGACTTTTATATGTTTGGGCCCAAGCAGGAAGCACTCAGAGAACAGTAAGTGACCAATGACATTCAGACAAATGTGATAAAAATCAGCCAAGAAACTTCTATAAGGTTTGGTATACATGACTTTGTTAAAAGATGACATACCACAACAGAATATTGGAAGACTAAGTTTGGAGTCCTGTGAGTTTTGTATTCATTTTGGCATGTATGTCTCTACTATTTAATCTGTTGTAATTAAAAAAAACAAATCTCATATTTTACTGACCCACATAAGCTTTAACAAAAACTAAAATCAATGTCCTCATGTTTATGCATTAGCAGATAAATGACAACAACTTGAACAAAATGGTGAAAATTAAGCTCACCTAACAAAAAATTCATGTTAACAGTTTTAAAATAATTAAGTGCAGTCAAAATCTCTATGTTAATATAATGTAAATATTGTTGAATTGTCAAAAGTATATGCAACAAACGCATTGCAGAAATAGACTGACAACAAGGGAAAGAGGAAGACATTGCAACTCACAATTTTTTTTTTTTAATGGAAAAAATATTTATTGAATTATTAGAAAAATTTATAAAAAACAGTTTAAAAACATAGCAACTAAAAGTACAAATGACAATAGTTAAGTAATTGTGAAAGCAAAGACATCAATTTCTCAAAACAGTTCTAAAAAGTTTGAAGCATTACTCACATTTTTTTTAAGCTTCTCTGATGAGATCAATTCCTGTTTGGTTGCAATTCTATCTTTCAGAGAATTTTGCAGTACTTTTAGAGTTAAACTCTGTTGAAATTGAAAAATATCAAAGTGAATTCAAATATGAATAAAATAGTTTAAATAATTTTTCATTTTTTAAATGAAATGCAAACATTATTTTAATTTATTCTTCAAATAAATACAACTTAAGTGGCAAATTTCAATTGATGAAAATAAAAAAAAAGGTCAGATTTCAAAAATTAAATAATGCACTACTCTTGAATTTTATCATTTTTGACTAGTATTTCTTTCATCTTAACTTCAAATACTTTTATCACAATTAAGAATGTGAATTCATATCTTGCTGAAAGCTTACTTCCAAGCTACACTGTATACTTAGATATAGAATGACTGTGTAGTTGTCATAAAAATCAACTGAAATTAAGATTAAAGAAATACTAAGCAAACAATTAGCATATTCTATATACAAATATTCTATCATTAAAATACAATCAACAGTTCACTTTTTACCAGTTCTTGCTTACATTCATTAAAAGTAACAAGTAGTCATTTGATCAATTTATAATATCAGTTTGACTACACTAATATTTACATTGACAATTTGTACTAGAAACAGTAAAGTCTTTGTACATTGTCCAAAAGTTTATAAGCAATTTCTGATTGTCACCCTCTGTGACAAAACTGTATAAAGAACAAAATGAACTGTGATACAGGAATAAAGTGTCGCTGTTGACAGTTGAGTTTCAACATAGATCACCAATATATATATAGAGGAAATGTATATATGGGAATTAGCTTGGCATCGAACCGATCTCCATTTCTAGTCTATCCTCTATTACTATACAGACCACTATTCTCTACTCTATTCACTATACTATTTTTCTATTCAGATTATTTTCCAAGCGAGTATTATCCAGCAAGTACTATGAGTGCAAGTGCTATTTAAAGGCATCTGACACCAGCATTGTTCAACAGCGCACTATAGTTGTATCTGCAATTACAAAGTCTCTACTACAACAAGCATTATGAAAGTGACAATGAGTGTTTGTTGACATTACAAAAGTGACAATGAGTGTTCATTGACATAACAAAAACTTTTTTTTCAGCTGTTCAGGAATATAAATGAATATTCATGGATAACTGATTCACACAAATATTAAACATGAAAATGCCAAACATCAGTAATTGGGTACAATTTTCAGAAAGATATAAAACATTATCTAAATTAATAAAAATTTATAATTTAGATTCTTTTTGAGTAAAACAAAAAAAAAAAAATTACAAAAGATTTTTTTTTTTAAATATTTCAATACAAATAATTACCAGAAAAATCCACTAACAAAAGATTATTATTTTTTATTCTTTATTAAAACATTAAAAATAGTAACAATAATTGATAACTGATCACAATTTTTTTTATTTTATACCTGACTACTTTTACAGCTTCCTGATGAAAGAAAATTAATGTAAACAATAAAATTTAAATCAGTAAAGCTGCCAATTGACATAAATATTCAGGTTTTGCTGCTATAAAGACTTTATATTGGGCTTTTGAATCTGATTAAATTGAAGGACTAACAGTAAAATGTAGCTACTTTACTATAATAAAAACTTAAAAAAGAAGATGGTAGTGTAAACAGAAAACCAACCTTCTTGAAAAAGATATAAATTTAGCACACTCAGCAACATCATCTTTCACAGAGACCTACATTTTCTTAGATTTTTTTTTTGTTAGGTAAACACAACCCATGAGAAGAAACAACTTATAGTTAATAATCTGAAAAAATTTTGTTCAAATTCAAGTTATTTGAAAACAATAATAGTTCTTTTTATCTTGTATTAATAAAATAAAAATAAAATGCTGATTAAAATTTCTTTCAATAAATCAACTGAAATTCTTGTAACCAAAAAAAAAAAACATCAGAGAAATTCCCACTATTCTCTGGTTAGACATTTCTTTTCTGCCATCTGGATATTTTTTCAGATTATAATAATCCATTATCTTCTTCCACTACTACTACTACTACATGTCTACATAAAAAGCAAAGCCTTTTCTTATAGTCACCTGCCAAGTATTTTTCATTAGCATAGTAATATTTAGGATTTTTGAAATTTACTGTACTTTTATTAGTCACACCACAATGCAATTCAATTCATTGGACACGTAAAGAGTTTAACTGAAAATTCTGAAGCAAAATGGACAAAATTTGCCCTATTTTAATTCAAAAATAATAATGAGCACTATATATGAAGGTCAGCTTTTTGAAAAATAAAAACTTAAAAATCTGAATCACTTTCACAAAGTACTTTTTTTTTTTTTTTTTAAGAGTTTTGAGTGTTTTATAATTTATATTCAAACAGCAAGAACAAATTTTAAACTAAATGCTTAAGAGGATTTTGGTACAACAAAAGTAACAAGACAATATTTTTTTCTCTCTCAATTGAGCACTGTTATCAATAATGTTTATTAATATTATTTTATGAAAATTGTTAATGAATTTTTATATCTAAACAGAAATTGTCCCCTGAATATCTCTAATCTTGAAATTACGGCGTACATCATAACGGTGTTAGATCCAGTAACAGGACCCAAAGAGTCTGAGTTCAATACCTGGTTAAGGCTGTGGAGAACTTTCAGAGGGGAATTAACAGGAGGTAACTGACATCCATTAAACATGGCACGTGGAACTAGAACAGTCCACCCCAGTGAGCGAAATAAAGGGTTCAGTTCGACATTCCAACCACCTGAAGAAGGCCGGAGCGTACAATGGATGAAATATTGCGATAAACATGGCAACAAAGATGTGGACAATAGTCCGAATAATGTAAATAATATATAATATATATATATATATATATATATATATATATATATATATGAAGGAGTGCTGAAAAGTTGTGCCCAATTAAAAAAAAAAAAAGAAAAAAAAAGGATTAATTGATCAGATTTTACAAAGTAAGCTGAACTGAGAATTTTTCAGTACAACTTCCTGGATATCTTTAGGAATTTGGATACCATATTGAAAAACAGATTTAAAATGATTCAAATGCATGAACAGATAAAAATATTTACAATTTGTTTCTAAAATAGAGCATCAGAAAGATTTATTCCAAAAAGTTAAATAAGTTCAGGAAATAAAGTTAAACTGAATCAAATTATCAATGAGAAAAACAACAAAATTCTAACAAATTAATAGTGCATTGTCATTTTTGCATGTACATATTGCAAAAATTAAAAAGATTTACCTGTACAAATACTGCAAAGAATATGAAAGCAAATAGTGATGTGACCATGAGATGCTTTTGTGAAAGATCAGTCTCACTAAGCAACAATGCAAGGCTGAAAGCATAAAGGCCACGAAGAGCACTACAATATACAATAAAATGTTCCAAAAGGCCAGGCTGAGAATGTTTGCTGGACCACCAGCAAATGCAGATTAAACCTAAAATAGAAAAAGTAAAGTTTTTTTTTCAAATCCCCACTAATAGTTGCCATCAGTTTAAAGCATCTGAATTGAGTTTTTATATTATGAAATTTAAAACAAAAATGTTAAAATATTAATACAAAAAAAAATCATTCTTTCATCTTGATTTGTCAAATGGTTGAATTAAGAATGTGCAATTCTGATAATTTATATTTAAAAGAAATTTCCAATAATTAATAAAATGAAATCAGAAGTTTTAGAAAACAAATATTCAATACTTCAAAAGTTGATTAAAATCATTTTAAAGTTTCAAGACATTTTATATATATAAGAGGACATTGAGATCAACACCCAGCAACAACAGTCTGTTTGATGCTTAAATGCAATTGTTAGGCTTGATGATTGTGTTTAAGCATGAAATCTCTGGATGTTGAGTTCAGTGTCCGCCTTTATATTTACATATGCTCTATCCCTGACACAGAGCACTTTAACCCATAAATATAGTATACCTCAAAATCATATATATATATATATATATATATATATATATATATATATATATATATATATATATGTGTGTGTGTGTATTTAGGCAGCATTTTTTCATTGATTCATGTTTCATTAAATAATATAGACAAGTTTTGTCTATTTTATGTAAATTATTTTCATATCATCTAATAAGCTTAATAACATTATCATTAAAAGAAGAAAGAAAATCACAACATTGATACATATTTCTTAATCCTATGTTAGCTTTCGATTTACATAAGCCATTCTCAAAGATGACAATTACATTACAATATATTAAACAATACACAGACAAAACAATAATGATAGTCTGTTTTTGTTTACATGGAAGATTCCCAAGCAATGACAAGCATAAATAGGATTAAAAAATATGTATCAATATCATGATTTTCTTTCTTCTTTAATGATAATGTTATTAAGCTTATCAGACGATATGAAAAGAATTTACATAAAATAAATAGACAAAACTTGTCTATATTATTTAAGGAAACACACACACGTGTGTGTGTGTGTGTGTGTGTGTGTGTGTGTGTGTGTGTGTGTGTGTGTGTGTGTGTGTATTATACACACACTCAGGATGAAATGGAAAAATTTGTCATCTAAGTTACGCAAAAATGAAAATAACACCGACATCTCATTAACAGATATATTTACCAAAATTACACAGAAATATTTTGAAATACTAAAGAGTAAATTTAATAAAATCGCCATTGGCTTTAACCACAGCCTTCAGATGACTTAGGAATCTCCTGCAACTCTTCTGGGTGGTCTCCTTGTTTAAGTTGTTGAATGCTGCCATAATCTTTGCCTTCAGTTTATCTTTGGTGTTACAAGGAGTTTTGTTGGTCTCTCATGCAACTGCACCCCCACACATAATAATCAAATTTAAACAGCTAAAGCACATTTTTCTCATCCTTTAACATCAATACACGGAAGGTTATTTGTGAGTATGAACAGATTTTGTTAAAAATTAGCAGACATCACGTCTGTAATTTATTCAATCAAATAAATATATATATATATATATATATATATATATATATATATATATATATATATATAGATAGATAGATAGATAGATAAAGTGGGTAAAATCAAAATCCATAATATACAAAAATTTATTATTTAAGCAAATAAATGCATTTATATTTATTGCAGCAGTATGAAGTTGCAAATGCAAAGAATTAGAAAATTATCATCACAGATGAGTTAATTGTATATACAACAAATTATTTAAAACATAATAATTAAGGGTAAATATAGTATCTGAAACATCAAAGAAATTGCTAATTAATACTTGCTTACATAACCTTTGCTCGTCAAGACTGTATCAAAATATTTCTTGTAGGGATGATACAATCTTCAGTTCAATCATGTTTTTAACTTCTTCATGGCATATTTTCTTTAACTCAGCAAGGTTTATTGTTCATGTTTCAAAAACTGATTCTTCAACTTTTTCCAGAAATGCTTCTTCTTCAACCAAATTTTGGTTTCCCATACTGTATGTTTGGTAATACTGTCCTGTTCAAATACCTGTCCTCACTTCATGTTGAGTTTTTTGACAGAGAAGATGAGGTGCTCTTCCAGAACTGATAAATATTTCTTGCATCCAATAATGTGAATATCCTCTGAATAAACAAGCAAAAAATCATCCCCACAACATAACACAGCCAACACCATGATTCACAATGGGGACAGTGTTCTTTGGATCATATGTGTTATTCAGTTACTGTCAAATAATAATGTAAATGGTGCAGCCACTTGTATCCGAGGACGCCTGTCTGCTAGGGAAGTTAGCTAATCCACATTGCAGACGCCTGCTCAGGCACATTTGTGTTAGTTCAACACCCACAGAGCCCATCTGTGGTTTATAGTGTGAAGTTAAATGAGTCTCTATTCCCCAGACGTCATTTGTACAATACAAAATATGTCTTGTTCACTATGCCATTCCCGAGTTCCACACACTTCAACAACATAAAAAAACAATCCTCCCTTCCCACTACTTCAGCCCTCTTTAATCAGGCAAACACCATGGCCGACTAACCAATTAGTGTCTTCACTTTTGTCCTCAGTTACCCAGGACCATGCTAAGCTGAACAAAAGTCACCATTACAGCACACTTACAGCTGGAACAGTCCAACATGAAGAGGAGAGACTCATGCCATTTTCAAGGAACAAAATGCTGAGGCTATATGTCGTGTGTTGAGGTAAGTAACTTATTTTCCTCTGCATCAAATGCAAGCCACTCTGACTCACTTGCTTCTACGTAATTGTTCACTACATACTGCAACTATGCTGGTTGGACTTTAGTTACAGATTCTGGGAGAACCAGTTAACTAGCATGATCAACAATCTGAACAAAGCTAGCACACTCAAACCCTCAGTCATAATGACTTGTGACTTTCTGTCACATAATACAAGTATAGTTTTTGCTAAATAGGTTGAATTTGGTTTCACTTGACCATAAAATGTTACTGAAATAGGCATTTTCTGTATTGACATACTTGTTGGAAAATTTAATGCATGCTCCAAAATGCTTTTTTTCATTAGTGATACTTGATGAGGTTGGCGTTTATGTATCTACTCTAGCCACAAATGTTGTCTATTGTCTGGTGTACTACAAATGTCCCAGTCAAGCTTAGGTTGCCAACCAATTTTTTCCAAGTAATTTATGTTTATCATTTGAACATTCTAAGTTTCAAGCAGGCACACTTCAAAATCTGTCTCGGTAAATCTTTAGTCGATTTACAATAGTCCTTTTTGTTCCCATTCCTAAATTACACACACTGGACCAAATCTGTCAAGACATTATACTATCTAAGAGAGCTTTCTGTTATCTGCTACATTCTTATGTTCTTCAACAATACTTTTCCTATCTTCTAAACTTTTGTCTTGGCCATAGCAGAGATGTTGACTCTGCAATATTTGGACATAGACTGACAAATTCCTAAGAGGGCATATATGAAATCAGCTTGTATGATGTTACAGAGCCATTGAGAAAAATCTTGAAACATCAAATCTATCTTAATTCAATGTTATTATTATTATTAAACGATCACTAAAAATTATAGCTACTTTTTTTTCCCTTCAGTATTCTTATTTCTCATGTAATTAATGTTTACAATAAAATTATCTGTTGTGATAATTTCTAGCATTTGAAACTTGGTATAAATCAAATCCAAATTTAAATATATCTATTTGATGAAGCAATACATTTTTTGTATCTTACAGGTATTTCTTTGACCCACTGTATACATAAAAGTAAGAAACGGTTTATATTTATAAATAGTTTTAAAAACAAGGAATGCATTGATTTTAATTTTAAAAGTCTCTAGGGCCCTTTCAGCCAACATCTCATCAGGAGACAATCGTTGGATTAGCGAAAAGAATATAAACGATATTGAAGAGCAAAAAGAGGGGGAAACACACTAAAATAACAAACAAGTATATATACTTGTAACGAGGGAAGGGAAAAGAATCGTGTAAATAAATTAGCGAGGACAGTTAAAATAAAATATCCCCAACAGATTCAGAGACTTTATAAATTCTTTCTGCGGCAGAGAGAAGTTTTTTAATCCTATACAGACCGATTCCAAAATCTTCAAATGATTATTGGAATCGGCTGTATGAATAATTTTAAACCACTCTTTTTTAAACAACTTGGCGCAAGCTATATTCTCAACTAAATGTTGAGCAATAGCCGACTCCATATTCATGGGGGGAAGATAGCATATTCTATCTATCTTACCAAGTCGTATTTTGGAAGGTACGTGCTGATTGATTCTAGTTTCCAAATGCAAGGTTGTACGCCCCACATAACCAGCAGCACACTGGCAATTAAATTCATATACTAATTCTTTTCCCTTCCCCTCGTTACAAGTATATATACTTGTTTGTTATTTTAGTGTGTTTCCCCCTCTTTTTTGCTCTTCAATATCGTTTATATTCTTTTCGCTAATCCAACTATTGTCTCCTGATGAGATGTTGGCTGAAAGGGCCCTAGAGACTTTTAAAATTAAAATCAATGCATTCCTTGTTTTAAAACTATTTATAAATTTTGTACCTCCAAACATTTGTTTATATATATTTCTGGACCAATAAAGGTAATGAAAAATATATACAATAGGATGTTACCTAGAGATGTACAATTAATTCCAATAAACAATGAAATGAGAACGAAAGCAGAGTTCCAGGAGTGAAAAGATGAGAACAGGGTTGGAGCTTGTCCAGGAATAAAGGCAAGCACCAAAGCGAGGATGCAACTTTCACAAATACAGGCCAAGAGTTTCAGCAATGATGTAACCTTGGTGCTACCATTTGCTGTTGGTGTTGTAAATGAGGACCCAGAAAGAAGGATAACGTCTGCATATTGCCGAAGACAAATGCCACACAATGTCAGTCTGAAGGTAAAAGGAAAAAAATTCATATAAAAGTAAGTCAAAATTCTAACACTTATTCTGGGAATTATTTAGATAAAAAGACATTTTCCTCTTTATTTTTCAAACCAAATATCTAATGAACCTAAAGAAAATAATTATTTTAATAACTGTTGTTTAACCAATTTTTAAAGCAAAATATACACTTATACTTACACCTAAAGCAGTTGTTTCAATTAATTTGCACAAGTGTGTAATCTCAAATTTCCATTGAAATATTGAAGCCATAATTATCAAAAGAATAAAAAATATAATAATTACTTATCTCTAAAGATATTTCATAAAGAAATTAATGGCAAAACACTCAGTCCAGAAATTATAAAAACAAAAATAATTTTTAAAATATTAAGTGGAATTTGTTTAAAAGCAAATTCATATGTTTCCTTTTGTGCATTTATAACAAGTTTATGAAATTCTAGTATTTTTTTCTTTATAATCAGCTGGCATTTACTGCGTTTTTGTACACATCAATAAACCTTGAGATTTCATAAACCAGTAACACCAACCTTCTGATTCTGCAAAGCTCTAAATCTTTCATTCTTCTGATAATCTCCTGGCCTTATCATTTTGGTAGAAACATTTCTCCCTGAATTCCTATGATTTATCACCTACAGTCTTTTGTCATCCTCAAGTTCAGGCCAATGTGGGACTGGGCAACAAAGGTTGTTTATCTTTTTTAGTCATTTTTAATCTTTTTGCTACCACAGACTCGTATAATCTTTCAAGAGTGCCAAAAAAAAAAAAAAAAAAAATATCCTTGTTGCAGCTGTCTCTCCATGCTCTTTAGCATAAATCTACCAATTGTAGCAAATGGTGTAGCTTAATCTCTTACTTATTGCAGCCATATTCTTATGGGTAAAATTCTTCAAACCAGCACCATTGGTGTTGTATCTATCTGGCACTAAGTAACCAAATTGAACACCCCAAAGTCAACCCATCAGTCATTCTTCATTTGATACAATTATAGGCTACAGAAGCAAGTACTGGAGATAAAATTAACCTGTAGGAGACCTGAACTTCATATATAAGACACAGGGAGATTTTTTTTTTAACCCTTTTCAGGAACAAAGTGTATCTTATATGCCCTCAAATACAGTAATTATAAAAAGTTTAAAAAAAAAAAAAAGGGGTCTTTATTAACAAAACACTATTTAGCAAAAACTTAAAACTTTATGACGGCACCTTTTGCCTTCAAAACCTGAAGGTCACAATAGGTCACCATTTTTGCCAATTTATAAAGTGCAATGAAGGATTTTCTCCCAGGCTTCCATGATGGCCTGTTTCAACTTCTCAAGAAAGGAATATTAAGGTGTTGCTAGTGTACACAGCTCTTGCCACCAGTCCCAAAAGTCTATGAGACTGAGTTCTGGAGACAAGGCAAACAACGACAGATGAAAAAAGTACAAAACAGTTGCCAACAGTTGACAACTCATATTACCTTGCTGGAATATCAGTTTTTTTTTCTTTTCTATTGATAATTTTTGGATCAAGCTGTGTGCTAGAATCTTTTGATACATGACTGCTGTCAAAGTTCTGTAAGCAATAACAAGACCACAAGCCAGTTTCCTTCCCTACAAGCAATTGTTTTCAGGATTTCTCTTTGTGGAAGTGAGCTTCCATATCAATTTTTGAACAAGCTATTTCGACACCATAACAGATAGGACATTCAACATCAAGTTGATATCCAAATTTGTTAGCTCAGTGACCAGACAAGCAGTTACTGAATGGATTGAAAACGCAGAACTTGTTTGTGATCTGTGTGGCATCAAGAAGGTTGAACGTGCTCTTCCCTTAAGATTTACAGACAGGGCATTTACTGTTAATCAGCAGCTAAGTACAGAGCAAAAAGCAGATATCAGATAAAACAAGCCCTGCAGATTGCCTTTGTGCTGGATCATTTCTTAGCCTACAAGCAGTTTGTGGAACGCCAACTGTGCCTGGATGGGTCTGTCAATGTATTTCTAGTTGAAATAGTTTGTTCAAAAAAATTGATGTGACATCTCATTTCCACAACAAAGTAAACAAATTGCAAGTCCGAACTTGAAGACCCAGGGCCAGAAAGAAATGATGAAATCACAATTCACAGCTCTGATGTCACAAATCCCAATACTTGTAAATGCTCAGAAATCCACCAAATCAGCTGACAGACAATGTGGCAAAATAAACAAATTTGTTTTTTCATCAATTTGAGAATACCAAATGCTTTTATCAACAGAACAATTTTTTCATTGATCGTCAGTTAATGACACACAATATTAGCATATTCAAGATACATTTATGGCAACACCTGCGACTATTTTGGATAGAACACATGCACTTTTTCTCAGTAAGTAACTTTCTTTTTCACTACATTTTCCAACACTGAATACATGTGACACTTGGTTTGATGAGGTAATTTGCCATTTTCTTTGCTACAAGCTGATAACCAAAGAAAAAAAAAAGCCTGTAGTTGTCATGCCCATCAAGAATGAAGCACTTTTTGTTTGTCCAGATCACATTCTGCAGGTCAAGATATGCTCTTTGAGAATCATCTCTGTCCAATGGCATCTGACTTTATGGCAAACAGGTTTTCAATTTTATTCACAGAAGCAATACACAAGAGTTACTGGCAAAAACGCATTGAATGGAAGATTTTGATATTTGCTGTACCTGGTTCATTGTTTGGACAATTTCAAATAAATAATAATAGATTTTCTAAAGCTTTTCTTTCAATTCATTCAGAAATTTTCTCGTCAATTTGTTTCTATGATTTCTTAAAGATAAAGAGATTTTCCCCTAAATACTGTAAAAAGCTTTGCAGCATGATCATAAACCAAGCTCCCTTAGATGTAGAAATGAAAAACTTGTACAGTTTAAAACAAGTATTTTGTACTCCATTGCTTCTTTCAATAATTTATAAAAATTTTACAAGATAAGACATTTTTAAAACAGCCCAAACAGTACCAAATGTGTTTTACAACCTAATAATTACTAAAGCAGGAAAACCAAGATAGCATAAAAGTATGAGAGAAGAGGTGGCAGGAATGACTGCATGATGGTGTTCCCATTAATCAGTAAAGTTTCTATAACTGAAATAGTTCTGGTGACACCCACGAAAGACAAGATCCTAGGGAAGGGAGGTATCTCAAATGACTTTTTTATTTTTGATTTCATGTTGTTTGCTCTATCAAGATTTTATCCATCCAGAGTGTTGTGATAAAAAGCAACCATAATAAAATAATTCTACTGCAAGTTTTTCTACTTTCAAGTTTCCAAATTTAACCTTTTCAAGATTACTACAAAATTACATATAATTTTGGAGACAGCATCTGGACAAATTTTTCTAAGAAAGCAAAAATTAATAGCTTTGTCAGTGTAACAATGTAGTGTTAATTCCGCCGAAGCATTTAAAGGTTAAACGAGAAAACACAAATTCACACTAAAACTTTAGTTACTTGTGTTCAGTGGAAGTATGTGTTTGATTCTGTTTTTGTATAATTGGCCCTTCTGCTAAATTGGCTTACATTTAACATGATTTATATAAACAAAATCCACCATATTTAAAATCATCTGAATTTTTTTTTGAATTTTGCAATTTGAGAATCCTTACTTCATGTTTTTTTAATTTCCAAAAGCATCTAAAGTGTATTTTTTAAAAGTTAATACTTGACAAATACTTGTGTTTTGGGCTCTCAAATGTGGACTTGTGTCTTATAAAAATGTAAAAAAAAATAAATAAATAAAAAAAATAAACGAAACAACTTTAAATAGAAAAGAAAATTAAATTATAAACAAAACAAAAAAATGACTGATTTATGAATGATGCTCGCAACAATCAATGTATTGTTCAAAATGATACAGTAATGAAATAACACGTTTGTGGATAATTTTAGATTTGGTTGGGTTTAGCTTCATTTGTTTTAAGGAATGTCAACTTCAATGGGTTATTTAATGCCGACAAGATTTTTATTGTTGATAATATTTTTATTTCAAAATGTATTGCTGGTAATAATGTACTGCTGATAATTTTTTATCAAAAAATTCATTTCTGGTAATAAAACCTATTTTTACACATTTTGATCCCAGTTTGGACGTTAACTATTTGCCCATAGCTGGGTGGACCTGGGAACACCAGCTATTAAGAGGTGGTTTCACGCTCCTCAATACCCCCTGATTAGAACCTTGCTGTTGGATGTAGTTTATCGTCTTACCAAGGATGCAGATGTACTTTATAGTCTTACCTATGATGGGGATAATTGTAGAAAAGAAACTACTTTTGTTATTCTAGAAATTGAAGAAACATTCAAATGCAAGTCTCCCAGAATTAATTATATTGGTTTTATAAAGAAGTAAAGAATAGGATAGAAATTTTGACTGAACATTCTGAACATATAGTAACAACACATAAAATACAAATAATAATACTTACTCCAAGATGGCTGGTAGTTGAAAGAAGTGGACACTGTAATAAGCCAAAATGCTCATAACAAAAAGAGAAATGGCTTCTACAATGCAGACAGTGTTAGGTGAACAATGCTTTGTGAGTGTAAAGAGCAAACAGCTGAGAAAAAAAGAAAATACAGTTCCCTCAATTCCAACTGCCAGCACATACATGACAATGGAATGCCAATCCACTGGTTGAGCAGGACTTTCATCCAAATTATTTTTCCCAGAAATTAAATGGTAAAGGATCTGTAAATGATAGAAACAACAAAAAAATATTTTTAAAAAGTCATTATGAATAACACCAATTAGCTAAGTTGTAAAAGACACAGGCTTTTAGAAACTAAGTACTCCAAACAAATTTCACGAAAAATTATGTGATTTAAAAAAAAAAAAAAAAAAAAAGAGCAAACTACTTTTCTAAACTTCAAGTCAAAAGTAAAAATGAAGAAAATACTGATATAAAAAGTAAATGAAGATATTTGTGTTTAAAAAGTTGTTTAAAATATATAAAACAATTTGACATAATCTGTATAAATAAATTTTTAGACAAAAAAAATTAAATTTTTTAAAATTTACCAAACATCTGCACATTTTTAATTTCAATAAAAATGTTCCATACTTCAATATTTAAATTGCAATACATTTTAAATATTTAAAAAAAATAAAAAGAAGTATATGCAGAAAACCCACGAGATATAGTTACTTTGTTAATTTCTAACAAAGACACATGATTGTTCAACCAAATATAATGCAGTCATAAATGACTAAATATTTAAGAAAATCTTATTTATATTTTCTTAATTTTCATAATTAAATGACCCTTTAAAATAAAACCTTAGTAGGTATACCAAACTGCTCTAGTTTAGTGTGAAAATGTGTCAAAATAATGAAATTTCCTTCCATTTTCAACTACTGATAATTTGTTAATTTTCTAGTCCATTTTGATAAAATTAATATGTAAAAAACATTTAATCTTTTCTCTTTCTAAAGATACAATTCTTTCTCATGTGTGATGATTAGTTCTTATTTCACATCTGTTTGAATTATGTCACTATTTCAATGATGGCCAGCTCTTTTCCACATTTTCGAAGTTGACAATTTCAAATTTGTTGCATTCCAAGATTTGTCTCTCAACACATTCAAAATATAACATCATCACTAATTGAGCTACCAAGATAATTTTGGTACCAACTTTTGCATTTTGTTAAGTTCTCTATGCCTATAGGTTTTTAGATATATTGAAAATAAAATTTTAAATTTGGGAAACTTATTCTGAGATTTTATTTGGCATACAACTATCTGAATCAGATTACTGGCTAATAATTTGGCAGTAAAATTTATATACTAGACACATTAAATAATGTTTTGATGAAAATATTTTTTAGTAAATACATATATCCTCAAAATAACTTACCAAGGAAACAGCATTGCTTAAAAGAGATTCCTGTGAAATCAGACAGTAAAAGACTTTTCCAGCTTGAACATATTTGGAAATGAGAAATAATGGTATGGTGTTGCAAGGCAAAATGATGCTCATCAGTAGAAGACAATGCAAAATAGTGACGGTAGAACCAAATACTTGATAGAAGATCAAGCTACTGAACAGAAAAATGGTTAACTTGCAAAGAGCAGCTTGTTCAAGTGAAACAACATGAGGTAAGAGGAAGAGCAGGAATAAAATGGACAGGTAGACAATTCCAATTGAACACTTCTCAGTAGCAACAGGTGATAAGGATATATCCCATGATGTAGAGTGAGACTTGTAGATAGTTAATCCAGCACTTAATGACCCTAACAAGGAAATCAAGATGAGGGGAAATAGGAATGCAGTCTTCTTAACTTTAATAGGGATACCTGCAATAAAATAAAAAATTGCAAAAGTAAATAGTATGAAACAACTTTCTAGGTTAACGAGAAAAGAGCATAAACACAAAAATGTGCAATATTCTTAGGAGGTCCATTACTTTTCAAAAATTACTGTCATTTTGTCTAGTCATCATTTTCTAAGCAAAAAATAAAAGAAATAAAATGGATGTACATAAAACAGTCATATGATTTTTTTTGTTTTTTAAATTCAAGAGCATAAAACATAAAGAGCATAAACACAAAAATGAGCAATATTCAAATGACGTCTTTCCATTACTTTTCAAAAATTACCGTCCTTTTGTCCATTCATCATTTTCTAAGCAAAAAAAATAAGAGATAAAATGGATGTACATAAAACAGTCATGTTTTTTATTTCTGTTTTTTTTTTTAAATTCAAGTTTGTTGGTGATTATTGTGGAGAATTACCTCAGAGGTCCATGAGGGCTAGAGTAACGTAGCCTAAATGTGCATATAGGACGAGTGAATAGCTAACAAGGCAAACCATCCAAGCATCGGTACTGGAATGACAATGCATATGCGTCATTGAGTCAGATCGAGGCTGGCAGCATGCTCAATATGGAAATTCTCTGGTTTGGCAAGAACGTTTAAAAAGGCGAGTGTTTGTTGAAATGGGAGAAGGTTTCTACACTCAACGCAAGTCACGTCGGTGCGCACTGAACTAGAATCCATTGCAAGTGTGTTTCCTGTATCTGTGCTACAGAATCTCAGGTTTCCTGCAACACTTATTATCTTATAAATTAACTAAAAATATGATTAAGGGTAACAATTACTTGTATCTGACTCATTCTGTGGATTACTTAAAAATTATTATTACTCGAGTACTTCTCTCCTTTAATAGACAAAGAAATGGCTTTATGTTCCAAGTACAAAAGGCATCACCAACTTATTTCTCTTCTACAAATATTCATATGAATTTATGTAATATAATTCACATTTCACTGAATCAATGTAATGATACAGTTTTGTCAAAAATAAGCCACAACTCAAAAAGTCCGTAAGCAAAGCAGTCAATAGTGAAATGTAGAAACATCAAAATAATTTGTCCAGGAAAAAAATAACAATTTTATTTTTAGAGAATCATAAAGAAGCCTTTATTATTATTATTATTATATCTGGTTGTCAGTGAAACATTTCAGGAAAATCTTGTGTATCTTTTTCTTCTTCCTTGTTATGCTAGTTTGCTGTGTATTATCCTAACATCATGCAGACAAAAAGAAAAATCTTGTAGCATTAGATATAAATAAAGCTATACCAAAATACATTTTTTTCCTTAAGCAACTTGACAATTTTCTTCAATACATCTACAATGGTTTTAGACTATGTTATAATGCACATTGTAGCACTTATAACATAAGTGATGCTTCAGCTACCTGATGCCTGTATTAATTAGTCTGAAGACTGACTCCAATAGCTTCTTTTCTTTCTTAACTCTGACCGGAAGTTCTTTATTTATAGTTATAGATTAGTTTGTATTGTTACCAAGGGTGTACTATTTACTCCAAAACAGACTAAATTATAAAAACTTTGAAAAAATTTAAGATTTTATAAATATATGGATGTACCTATGCTTTCTCCCAAGTGGAATGCAATGTTACATTAGACAAACATTGGCTATCTGCAAGAGGAAAAATAACTTTCCAGAAGCAATTCCAACAACATCACTGATCTAATAATTCTAAACTCATTATCTAGTGTAAATTAACATTTTCCAACTCCATAGTTTTATACCAAGAAAAACTATTAGTATACCTAAGAAAAACTATTAGTATCAACATTAACCTGGTATGCAAGTCATTAGTGATACATGAAGAAATAGGTACTTCATGTGAATAAATTATTAAAAAACAAAAAATAAGTGTCCATCAAACAATTTTACAATATAAATGATGCAAGGAAATAAAAAACAATTAAACACATTTATAATTAACGGTGATCTGAATTTTTTTTTTTTTTTAAATGCTATGTCTTTTAGGAATAAAGGTGATCATAGCTCTCCAGAGATCTTTTCTTTATTATTTATGAATTGCTATGCTTTCTTGGGAAAGATAAATGGAATGGTTTTCCTTGGCTGTTTTCTATAGTTTGGAATTCAGAGTTTTCCTTCTCTTAGATTGGTTACTACCCAAAGTTAGTGTCCAATCTACTCTGCACTATTAACTGATGAGAAATAAATATAATCCCTGCTGTTCCAAAAGCCATTAATAAAAAAAATGAATGCAACAAACTAAGCCACAATAAGATTTGAAGAATAATAATAAAGAATGGTTTTATTTTGTTAGTACTTCAATGCCTATTCAGTTTGTTCTGCTAGTACTTCAATGCCTATTCAGTTTGTTCTGCTAGTACTTCAATGCCTATTCAGTTTGTTCTGCTAGTACTTCAATGCCTATTCAGTTTGTTCTGCTAGTACTTCAATGCCTATTCAGTTTGTTCTGCTAGTACTTCAATGCCTATTCAGTTTGTTCTGCTAGTACTTCAATGCCTATTCAGTTTGTTCTGCTAGTACTTCAATGCCTATTCAGTTTGTTCTGCTAGTACTTCAATGCCTATTCAGTTTGTTCTGCTAGTACTTCAATGCCTATTGTTTGTTCTGCTAGTACTTCAATGCCTATTCAGTTTGTTCTGCTAGTACTTCAATGCCTATTCAGTTTGTTCTGCTAGTACTTCAATGCCTATTCAGTTTGTTCTGCTAGTACTTCAATGCCTATTCAGTTTGTTCTGCTTCTTCAATGCCTATTCAGTTTGTTCTGCTAGTACTTCAATGCCTATTCAGTTTGTTCTGCTAGTACTTCAATGCCTATTCAGTTTGTTCTGCTAGTACTTCAATGCCTATTCAGTTTGTTCTGCTAGTACTTCAATGCCTATTCAGTTTGTTCTGCTAGTACTTCAATGCCTATTCAGTTTGTTCTGCTAGTACTTCAATGCCTATTCTAAAAAATGTATTGCTGGTATTTTTACTATAAAAATCAGTTTTTACACTTTCATAATGTTTTAACCCCAGTTTAGGAGTTAATTATTTGCTTATAGCTGGGATTCTAACAGATGCTACCACCCCGGGTCATGGTAGACCTGGGAACAACAGTAATTAAGAGGCCATTCCACACTCCTCAAGACCTCCTGATCAGAAGCTTTGCTGCCAGATGTATTTTATCATTATACCCAGAACATTCCTATATTATAAAGTAGGTATTTTATTCAGGGCTTCACTTGCTTGTCTGGGTGGGTAGGTACACAATACTTGGGACAGCTTCTGCTATGTCAGCTCTTTCCCCACACGACTCCTTGCACATCTACACATCTTGAAGTGTAGCTGGCAATGTAAATAGACAGCATCAGAATCATGCAACATGTAAGTCTGTCTCCTGCCAAGGGTAGACCAGAACTGACCTTGATCCCAAGTATGACTTAATATAGACCAGTATTTGGATACACCTTATTTCCGGTTTTGTTGTCACTTGATCTCCAAAACCCCTTCATCTACTCCTTTACATCCTTGTTCTCCTTTGGTCAAAGTGGATGCCACTTAGAAAACTACACTTCAACAAGAACCACCTGTATGTTGATTTCAGTCTGCTCAAAATGACTGCAAAAGGCCCCACCCCTTTTAAAGACAAAAGCACACAAATGCATGTTGGGATTTTTTTTCTTTTTTCATGGAATCTTACCATTTTATAGAATGATTTGAAGTAATAGCTTCATTATAATTAGTGAGCATATTCATTACCAAGCAACAATAATCTATAGTCAGATTTACTCTATTGTCTAAATTCTTAAAAACATAATCTTTTAAATATTCAAACATTTTTCGTAACCTGTTTGGATATTGTCTGTCAGATCTTCACTAAGATTATCTCACATATTATTGCTTGGACTTGACTGTGTAGGTTCACTTTCTTGTTTCCCCTCCCTACAAGGATTTTTCTGCAAATAGTTGGGAAGTATTGCATTATTTTCTCAACTGGAAGTAAAGAATAGTCAGAGATAGGATTTTCAAAGTTTCCAGTAAATTTTACACATGACTCTTTGACATAGTTTCAGGTTTATATGTTAAATAGGCAGGAATTGATTTATTGTAGCCTATGAAAATTGCTTTTTCACCTTTAGTATCCAATTTCTTTCTATCTTGTATGTAGGCAGAACAAATTGTGCCAAATGTGTGTATATTGCCAAAGCTAGGTTTGCGACCTATGAACATTTCAAAGGCAGTTTTTTCAATTCTTTGAGTGTAACACTGATTTCTAATATATGTAATGGTCATAACAGCATACAACCACAAAAACTTTGGTAGCTTCAATTCTATTAATAAACATCTCCTTTGAATAGAGATTGCCAAGATCTTTCTCCAGTACCATTTTGGTGTGCAGAGTAAGGAGTTGATTTCTCATGTTTAATTTGATTATTAATTAAAAGAGTTTTAAAGTTTTCAGAAGTGCCATTATCACTTCTTAGGCATTTTATAGAACTATACAAAGCAATGTCTGCCAAATATTTCTTTGTAGTGAGAAACGTATTGCTTTTTTGTTTCAGAAAATAAAACATAATTAGACCAGAATAATTGTCCACAAAACAAAATATATATTTTGAAGCCATTCAAAGAATCTCTATTCAATCACCAATTTACTTCCCTTGACATTTTTAATAAAGTGGCCATGTTTTCAGCTCTAGTAATATAATCAGTGATAGTTTCAGCACTTGCCTTGCATAGGAAGGTTAATTCAGTATACAAGGAAATTATTTTTGGTTTTCCTTTTGATAAATAGTGCTCTCTCAAAATTTGCAACACTTTTCTGACATTGTCAGGAGCTTCTCTCATAATCGTTGAGAAATTGAATTAATTCAGCAAACACATTTGCATTCTTTTCAGAGTATTCTTCGTCATTGGAATGATCAAATGGTGCCAAGATTGTTTCGTGCAATTTTTGGATTCACATGTAACCCAAAAATTTTACCTCCCATAGTTTGTATTT